AGGTAACAGGTATTTCCTTACTTACTGATGAATTCACCAGACATATGTAGATTTACCTTATTGAAAGGAAGAGTGGGGTATCCACGCAGTTCAAGAAGTTCAAATTGTATGCTGAGAAACAAAGTGGCTGCAAATTGAAGAGGTTAAGAACTGATGGTGGTGGTGAATATACTTCTACTGAATTTGCTAGATTTTTAAATGAGGAAGGTATAGATCATGAGGTTATTGCATCCTATACGCCTCAGCATAATAGTGTAGTTGAGAGAAAGAATAGAAGTATATTGAGCATGAAAAGAAGTATGTTGACAGCTAAAGATATGCCTAAGAGATTTTGAGCTGAAGCAGCTTCGACAGCAGTATATATTCTAAATAGATGCCCAACGAAGAAGATGGTCAAAAAGACACCACATGAGGCTTGGACAGGGTCGAAGCCAAATGTGAGTCATCTTAGAGTTTTTGGATCAATGTGCTTCAGGCATGTACCTGAACAATTAAGAAATAAGTTGGATGATCAAAGTGAAGTCATAGTGCTCATAGGTTATCATTCGACTGGTGCACATAAATTGTATTCGCCAAACAAAGATAAACTAGTTATCAATCGAGATATTCTTGTAGACGAAAGCAAAGGGTGGAACTGGAGTCAAAGTTCAGTTCGACAAGAATCAGACATAGTCACAACTGTGTTTGACGAAGATGAACATAACAAAGCTTCGACAAGTCGAAATGAACAAGGTGATACATCAATCAGTCAAAATGAAGAACCACCTGCGCAGAATAAAAGAAGGTAGACAAGAATAAGAACTGAGTCGACTAGGATAACTGGATATGAAAGGTCTCCAGATCAAGAAATCGATATAGATGATGACATAATCGAAGAAGCCATGATGATGGCTGAAGCAAAACCAATTGACTTGGGTGAAGCCTTGAGCAATTCGAATTGGTGTGAAGTCATGAAAGAAGAATTTAGAGCTATTGAGAAGAACAAGACTTGGGAGCTTTTCGAAAGAACCAACAAGAAACCAATCAATGTGAAGTGGATTTACAAGGTGAAACGAAGGCCAAATGGTGAGATTACGAAGTATAAAGCAAGATTGGTGGCCAGAGGTTTTCTACAAAAACTTTTCTACAAAAACCTGGCATTGACTTCGGCGAAGTATATGCGCCTGTTGCAAGGTTAGAAACAATCGGAATTTTTGTTTCGACAGCAGCATGTAGAGGATGGAAAATGCATCAATTAGATGTAAAGTTAGCATTTTTGAATGGTCCATTGGAAGAAGAAGTCTTTGTTACTCAACCACCAGGATTCGACATCAAAGGGCAGGAGTCAAAAGTATATAGATTAAGGAAGGCTCTCTATGATTTGAAGCAATCTCCTAGAGCTTGGAATAAAAGGATAGATAGCTTTCTGATCGATGCAGGTTTCACAAAGTGTGTCTCTGAACATGGAGTGTATGTAAATGATATCAACAGTGGCAGTCAAATCATTGTATGCCTCTATGTTGATGGCTTACTCATTACAGGAGCAGACAAAGCTGAGATAATGAAGGTAAAGTCGAAATTAATGTAGAAATTCGAAATGTCTGACTTAGAGAATCTCTCATATTTCCTAGGGATTAAATTCAAAGGCACTGAAGAAGGAGTATTCTTGCATCAAACGAAGTATGCTCAAGATATTTTGAAGAGGTTTAAAATGACCAACTGTAATGAAGTTGTCACTCTGTTAGAAACTGGATCAAAGTTGAAAAAGAAAATGGATGATGAATTTGTAAGTTCGACCCTTTACAAACAAATCATTGAATCCTTGAGATATCTTTGCAATACTAGACCAAATATATGCCAAAGTGTAGGATTGTTGAGTAGATTTATGGAGAAACCACACGAATGTCATCTCATTGCAGTAAAGAGGGTTTTGAGATACATAAAGAGAATTATTGATCATAGTGTGTTGTTACCAAAGAAGTCGAAGAACAGCACAGATGTCAAAGTTCATGGATACACTGACTCAGATTTCAGTGGAGATCAAGACAAAAAGAAAAGTATTGCAGGCTACATTTTCATGATTGAAGGTGCTCTAATCTCTTGGAGTTCGGGGAAGCAAAGCATTGTGGATTTGTTATCATGCGAAGCAGAATATGTGGTTGTATCATATGCTGCATGCCAAGCAGCATGGATCGAAATGCTACTTGAAGAACTCAGGATAATAGAACCTAAGAAGATGAAGTTGTTTGTCGACAACAAGTCAGCTATAAACCTGGCGAGTCACCCAGTGTGTCATGGTCGAAGTAAGCACATAGAAAGAAGGTATTATTTTCTGAGGGATCAAATCAACAAAGGGAAGCTTGAGATAAAGCATTGCAAAACAGAAGTGCAACTAGCCGACATATTTACCAAACCTCTGAAGAAAGTCAGATTCGACGAGTTAAAGAAAAGCATCGGGATGAGAATTCTCGAGAATATGAATTAGAGGGTGTGTTAGATGTATAATTCTTGCTCTGTCAAAATGCTTGTGTAGTGTATATCGAATAGCTTTTGTATAGGTTATAAGCTGTATTCGACAGAGTCAGATACAACAGATATTACAGTCTATCGAAATCATGTTTTGGGCTTTAGCATTTTGTCTAATTGGGTCTAGGCATTGTTTGCCTATATAAAAGACTACTGAGTTTGTAATTACATACAGTGAGAAAGCAATCAAAATAACAAACTCTAAATTCTCTCTTCTTCTTCTCTTCCATAAATTATTTTCTTGACAACCCTTTATTCCAACAGTTACATTGGAAATTATCTTATATACCTAAAAAAGTTAAATTAATAAAAAAGCATCAATGTTTGCTGTAAAGTTACTATTTGGAAGTGCAAACTTTAATCAAAAGGGCCACATAATCGTATTCCCGCCCATGCAGTTAATTAGTTACTGCACAGTTACTTGTGGCATTGCTTTATATGTTGAAATATTGAAATACATATCTTCATAATCTTCTTGATTATGAAAATACTTTAAAGAAAAGCAACGGTTACTTGTGGTAACCACTTATTATTGTTAATGTTATATACATAAACCACAGTTCCATCTCTTCATTTGTGTATGTATAATTGTCAATGGAAACTGAGACAAATATGAAATAGTTTTAAGTTTTCAAGAGTAACGTTTGATACTCAATAAATCTCTTAGTTTTAATTAACTATACTTTTACTTGCTACATTCATGCCATTGATTATACAATAATAATCATTTGGAAAGTATTCCTACATCAAATGGAATTGTATCAGAATATTTACATTACTGTTAATTTCATTAATATTTTACATAATCTCTTATTTAATTTCTCCTGTTATGGTAATTAACTAACTCTCAACGGTTACATATTTTAGATTTGAAGAGCTTTAACAAGTATATTCTCCTACAACATAAAGGAATACACCAAAGATCTCAAGGTGTGTGAAAATGTAAACTTTGTTGAAATTGATTTACAGTTTAGAATCCTCAAAACCTCATTGAAATAGTTGCATTTGTTTTCTTGCATCACAAACATATCTCATTACTTTATCTTCGGGTTGCTTATTTTTATGATTTTAACTTTTGAAATTGAATCTTAAAGTAGAATAATAACCGGCATGAAGAAAAAAAGTTCTAGAAGAGGTGTTAACTGTCTAGGGGCAGTATCGAAACGAAAAAGACGAGTTGCAGATAACATCAAGCACAAAGTCGAAAAGAAGATAAAGATTCAATGTAGAAACAATGCGCCTCCATCGGAGATGAGTACTAAAAGACGGTGAATCCTTTATAACTCTAAAAAAACATGATTCTTAAAGTTCCTTAAAGTATCATCTTACTATACAAATTGTGTGCAGTAGATTAATTTAGCATTTCCTTTCTTATGATATGAAATTGTTTCCAATTCATAAGGAGAATTATAATCAATAATTTAATGTAAGTACTATATCATGCAGTAATATTTAACCATATATTTTAGCATGTAAGGTTTGTCACAATTTATTCTTTTGCAGTTTAAATTCCTTGAATGATTTGGTTTTCATTTGTATATAGGCTACAATAACTCTTCACACAAAAGTATGTTCCTTTTCACACAAAAGTAATTAAATTTGAATAAATCCAATTCAAATCAAAAGTTCATTGCAAAAGCCATAGAAATTAATCTATATCATAATTTGAAAAGGGGGTAATTTTTATTGATACTTTGATCCATCAATTCTTGTAAACATGACATATTTGTAGTAGTATGAATCTCTTAGAAGTAGATTATCTCATGTTTAAAGCTTCCATCTTTATTGACTACATATCTCCATTTTTCTCCTTTATCTTTCAATAACTGTGTTGCTTTTGCGCCGCCGCCCCCCTTGTCTTCCACTCAGTCTTGCTTTTACCGCCGCCGCCCTTGTCTTTCACTAGCTTTTATGCCGCCACCATTTTCTTGCACTCAGTCTTGCTTTTGAACCACCACCATTGTGTCTGTCACTCACATTCATAGTTGTGTCCTCCATTCACCATTATTCTTCTTTGCCGCTACCCCTGTAGCAGCTAACAAATATTCTCAATATTAGAGACAACTTCTTGTTAGTGGAGCTTTAACAATGTAACGTTTTTCAAAGAACATTAGTTGTTACACATGGAGTTCTTTCCTGGTTCTTAACATCTAGGTGCTAGTGGAGAAGAGAATTACATTCTTGGTTGTTTATTGCACTTAACTAGTGTTTTTCTGGGCCATGCTCTTAACTAATGTTTCCTGGTTCTTATAATCTTATAATCTGCTGGAATGCATTATCTTCAACATGGATTTTACATTCACTGTTACCTATTTCATGCCATTTATATGCAGTAGGGCTGTCACAAGCCCTGTAGAAACAATTCAATTGGTAGCTGCTACATAGAGGTCCACTGTATTATGCAGTGTTCAACATTCTAGCAACTGTCATAACAACTTTGGTAGCTGCTACATTCCACCAGGAAACGTATACACAATTCTTTTTACACCATCTTGTTAATGAAAAAGGAGAAAATTGCAGCATAGGTAGACACCGATACAGTGGCGGAGAAGAAGAATGACAGGGAGTGAAAGACACTGTCTGCGAGTGAAGGACACAACTGCAACGGCGCCGAAGCAAGACGGCCAGTGAAGTATAAAAAGAAGAAATGGAGAATGAAATACATTACTCCCACATGCAGATCCTAACATAGTTGGTAATTTATAGATGAGTGTTTCACTAATTGCAGAAAAAACTCATACATACATTGGAACAGCACCACGTCAACATTATAAACAACAGTAACACAGAATGACACTGAAGGAAAACCATAAACAAGACCAACCAATCAAAATACAGCTATTAGCACATGCATGCCTAGAATCAGCAATTACATCTAAACAGATTATTCAGATTTTCCTAGTAACCTATCTATTCCTATTCTTGAAGGCACAGATTTTGGTTACAGTGCCTGAAATTTTAATAGTTGAAACAAACTTGTAGACTACTTATGCTGCAATAAAGAATAGTATAATACTCCAAAAACCAAACTGTCCCATAGACTGAACTTCCCCCCAAAAAGAGCCCACGACACTCAGCAAGGCAGGATATAATAGCTATACAAGTGTGTAGTAGTGACTGAATAGCAAACCTCTCAAACTGCTTAATTTTCCTTCTCCGATGGTATCATTCACTATATTTTATCAATACATTAATGAACAAGGTATTGTAGGACAAATCTACAAAAGTAAGATATAGGACATGAAGAAAGCTACTTAAATGAAAAGATAACAGGAATAGGTTGAATCAATGAAACAGGGTGAAGTTCTAACAACTAACACACATTCAGACATGTTCATATTTTTATAAAAATAAAAGTAGAAACATATTTGATGAAAAAGAACAGCCAAGGAAAACAGATCAGCAAGCAAAATCAGCCAAGGAAGCATGAAGAGAAGTGTTTTTCACTGCAAACAACCCTTCTGAAACTTTGCATGAGAGTCAAGTTACTAAAACGATTGCATAATTCCATACCAAGTATTTACTATAAATACACATTTCAAATGGGCACCTAAACCACAGCATCCACGCAGAAAACAGAACAGAACAAAGATGGCCTCAACTCAATCCACAGTCCTAGTAGTTGTGGTTGTCTGTGCTGGAGGCCTCGTCTTTCTTTCTTTGCTTACATTTGCACTATTCTGCTTCTTTAAGAGGAATGAGAAGACACAAGAAACCGACATCATACATATCAGGACGAGCATAAAAAAGGTAAGGAAACAATTACTCTAGGTCCTTTGGAAAACAAGCAGTAGCTATATCAGTTGAAGATGATGTGCATGTAGATGAAACAAGGAAGAAAGAGAAACTCGGCCATGGTTTGCATGCCAAATCATCCTCAGCTATCATACGTATCGATGAGCATAAAAAGGGCAACAAAACCATTGTTCCTGGTCCTTTTGGACAGCAAGCAGTAGTTATATATATATCAGTTGAAGATGATTTGCATGTAAATGAAGCAAGGAAGAGTGAGAAACATGGTCATGGTTTACATGCCAAACCATCCTCAGCCGAAGCAAACCATCACAACTCTTAACAGCCAATAGGTTGGAACTTCTCATGGCCATCATCACCAGCTTGAGAATAAGTCTTGATTGGAGGAAGAATTGTGTAAATTCCCATAGAAACTACTATCCTCCTACATGGACTCCTAACAAATATGCCAATTCAACTTAAATAATTCAATGAATAAACAATAAACATTCTTCGTTTTTTTTTTTTTTTCTTGTGTGATAAACTCATCATTTGTTGAATCTCCTACCAAGTTGTTGAAAATAAGCTTGAATCTCCTTCTACACGGCATTTGAAGCTCTGTGTATACAATCAATCTGACACAAATAAACAATCCTCAATTTATATACTAATTACAAGCTTTCACTAGCTTTACCTTAAATATATTCTAAGCTTGACCTGCACATCATAAATAATCATGCCATGTGTCCTTGACACAGATCCAAAACTCATATTATCATTCATTTGAAACTAAAAAGTATATACCATCAATCCGAATTTAGTTGATACACAAGATATCAGCATGAAAGTATTGAAACTTGGTAAAAGGTGCATAACATGTCATCCTAAGAACGCGGCAGAAAATGAAATACAATAAAACAGACCCCCAATACACATATAGCAGATTTTCTAACCATGACAACAATCACAGCTGTAAAAAATTGGAAATGGATGCCCTGAAATTGAAAATTAATTTAATTAACACAGTTGTGGATCAATTAAAAGTCAATTTGTTGCATTTAAAGGCCGGTTTGTTGAGTTTAAATCCAAGTTATCCAATCTTCATTCAAAGGACAATATCAAAGGACAATATCAAAGGACCGTGAGTGAACAAAATTAAAATTATCAATGAATAAGTCTTTCTAGTATAGATAATGACGTCACAACCATACAAGTTTTCAAATATGTCGTTTTCATTTTTTCTGAATTCTGATGTCTTTTCAACTATATATTTTCAAGTATGTCTTTTTCATCCACATGAATCAGACAAAGTATTAGTAGGGGTAAAGCACTTCCCAGTCCCAACCAAAAACTATATCTATAATCAATTTTAAGAAACCAGCTATTAGCTCACAGAAAAATAACTGTCTCATTTTGTTTTCTGAATTCGGATAAATTGGCTTATTATGAAACTGAAAACCGGTTGCAGGACTGGAAATCAAGTCCCAACTCCCTATTAAACAAGGATAATACAACCTATTAAAACATAAGAAGACATGCCAAATTTATGCCAGATTATTGCTATGTAAATGAAACAAGGCAAATATATCCCTACAAAGCTATCTATTATTCATTCAGTACAGTTCAATTAATAAAGGAAAATCATCCATAACAAATAAAAGCTTTAAAGGAAAACAGAATATCATGTTCACCATAAACAAACAGCAAAGTTGACAATCATAACATCCTTAAAATGACCTCAATGTGTTGAAGGAAAAAAAAAAAAGCATTAGAGATTCCCAAAACACGTACTTGTAAATTTGTTTCTTCATATGGAAGTCCTATACTGCAATGGATACAATATAATCAATGTCCCAATAGGCTTGGGTCCCCTATATATTCTGCCATATGTTCGAGTTTGACATTGAGCATCTGATGGGTATCAGCATCCCTAATAATACCAATCTCCCTATCCAAATCTCTCTCAACAAGACTCCCAAAGGCACCCTTATGTTTCCCATGCAATACAAGAACAGGCCCCCCTCTTCGTGGAATAGCCGTCTCAAGCATATCTTGAGACACCCCTTGAATAATCTCCCTACTCTCATCCATAGATATGTCACAGGTAGTAGGTCCGATAACATCCAAAACCTCACCCTTCTTCAAATAAAGTCTCCCCCCTTTAAAACTTCGACTAACCACCCTAACCCGAATGTGACTTGTAAGCCAAGGAACCTGTTTCTTCTCCTTCTCTTCCTTACCACCACGATTAGCATCCACTCTTCTCTCTTTCACCTCATCCCTCCGATGCTTACTACAAGACCTTCTTTCCTCCTCACGGTGGTCTTTAACCTTGGAATCCTTCAACTTTCTCAAACACCTATCTTCTTCAACAGAACCCAATTCAGCAACATCCTCTACCCTAACCTTAACTTCCTCACTAGTCCCCAAAACCTTCAAAACAAAAACATCATCCCCAATTCTACTCACAACACTAGCCTTCAATCCAACATCTCTACCTCGAACAATCCTCACAACTTTCCCCTCCTTGTTCCTCTTCTCCCTCTCCACCTTCCCATTCCTTTCCCCTTTCTTCGAAGTAGGAGGAGGCAAATCAGCAACAAAACCCAAACCCTCCTTAGCAGTCCTCCTCTTAACCTCAACAACCTTAACATCCTCCTTAGCATTCTTCCCAATCCCCATTCCTTGTTTCCACCCATACCCACCCAAAAGCGCGGCACCATAACCATCCACCGAAATATCCTTAAACTCATCAAACCCCTGATCATCAGGAAGCCTCTCCATATCCTCCTTAAACTTCTGCATCATGTTAACCTCAATCGAAACCCTGGGCCTCAGAGCATCACCGTCAGGTATCTGTTTTTTGTTATCGGAATTGCCGGAACGGAGGTTGAGACCGTAAGATGACTGGTCGGATTCAGCCTGATCGGAGATCGAAGTAGTATCCGGTACAAAAGTGAGGGAATGAGAAGAGTGCGAATCGGTAATTGGAAGATGAAGATTCTTCATTTTTTTGTGAGCACGCCATTGATTTTCGATTGGGGAAATTAGGGTTTTGGAATTGGGGTCTAGGGTTTGGAGATTGGAAGAGTCAAATTCGGTGATTAACTGTTTTTGAAGATCTTGTTTGGTAGAGGAATCGTCGTCGAAGGTTTGGGAGGGTTTGACAGAATTGTTTGGCTTGGATGAAGATTTTGAAGAAGGGAAAGAGAAAGAGAGTTTCTTCATCGCTAGGGCTATGCGAAAGAAAGAAGATGAACAAGACTATGGTTGCGGGTTTGTCGTAATGTATTTTTTACACAATTAATCGTAACTTTTTATTAATTAAATAATTAATAAATAATTTTAAATGAAAAAAAAAATAGGCATTAATAAATAAAAACAATAATAATAAAAATAGGCATTAAGTTTGATAAGTAAATATTTTTAGATATTTAACTTATGTGAAAATAATAAAAATATGTGTAAATAAGGTTATTAAAATAGAAATTTAAAAAAAAAAAATTATTTAATATTTCAATAAAAAGATACGTAATTAGAATGAAAAATAAAGATATAAGAAAAATTATAATAGAAAAAGGAAAGAATATATATAATTGGATCAAAAAATTAAGAAAAAACATTTGAATTGTATTTGTGGAATGGATCAGACTCAGGAAAACATTTAGGAGAGACAGTCCCAAAGTAATTAATGCAAAGAACATGTGAAAGTTGAAACGCTTCATTAATCAAAGATTTTGTGGATTACGACAACAACGGTAGAAACTTTGCTCTCCCACGACAAGATGAAAACAGAAGGGTCATTTAGGGCATCTGAAAGGTTCGATTCTTCATTTTTTATTGTTGCATGTGTATTTAATGTATTATTTTTCATGGCTACCCTGAAACATGTTATTTTTGTCGTGTTTTCTTGACAGATCTTTGTAAGGGTTGGACGGAAATGATGGCAAGAGGTAAGAAAGCTTTAGTAAAAAATAGCTAAATTTATTTCATTGGAAGCAGATAGGAAAGTTTGAAATTTATGATTAAACAATTTAATTGTTTTATGGCGATTGAATGCAGGGTAATTAATCGAACAGACGAAAGTTGAAAGGGAAAAAGGGTTGCTTCCGTTAGAAAGCGTGTTCGTCGTGAATCCATAGTTATCGAGTATAAGTTGAACCACAAGTACTTCCTTTGGACAAAGGAAATCAAATGTGGGAAGATAGCCAGCAATAACGTTTTTGTAAGTATAGTAACATTTGAAATCAATGTTATAAGTCATAATATGTGTATTTATATTATGTAATATGTGTTATGTGCAGCGGTTTCCGCAAGAAGTAATCAATAATTGTCTACATATGGGTCATATACGTATTGAGTTGCGTGATTCTGATACGAAGAAGATTTACGTTTGTGAACTTCATTATGCAAAAAGAAAGTATTGCGTGGAGAGATTTATTGGGAAGGGCTGGTATGAATTTGTGAAGAACAGATGTCTCAAAAAAGGCGATAAGCTTACATTTTCTATTCGGGACTGTCCAGCAAGGAGTATTGACCCTGCAGCACAAAGGGTTGATGTGACAGTTGTAACGGTAGAAATATTGAGACTAAGTCATTGGATTGACTTAACTCGTACGTATTAAATAAAAATCGTCACCGCGCTTTATTGTTTCCAAAAGAAATGGGGAAAGAGCGAATAAACCATAAAAAAGAGAGGAGAATCTAGGTACAGGGGTTGGTTAAGCAAAGGGAATACATTAGCACCCTAAACATATATGGTACTCTGTAGGAAACTTTTTGAAAATCTATGTATTTTGGCTATAAAATATGTGTACAAAGATAAGATGGTGGAGATGAGAAAAGAAGTATTTTTTATAATTTTTGCACCTGCCGCAGTTGCGAAACTTTAGCGCCTACGTACCACCTTCCGTACAAATAGGGAATCAGGGTATTCGTAGTTCACCTCAAAAAAATTTAAACACATGTGTGTTGGTTAATTTTAAGAGAATGGACATCTCGTCATATTCGAGTGGAAAACATGCTTACTATCCACATTTATGAAAAAAGAGCATATGCGTCATCCCAAAGTGGAGGATATAACTTGAATTTAAAATCCATCACTCAACATCCAAGTGAAAAATGGATCACTTCACTACATATCATAGAAGTATAATAGCTTGCATCACTACAAGAATCAACAAAAGTCTAATCTTTTGAGAAAAGTTTTAAAGTAAAAAGCCAATGTGGCAAAATGGATTGAATAAGGTTAATGACTTTTATCCTTTCAAAAAAAGATGTCAAAGTATGGTTAAATTGATTAAAGTTTGATTAAGAAAATATTTTTGAAAATGCATGGACCTAACTCCAAGTTTGTTATGAAAGTGGTTCAAGTTAGAAAATAAGAAGAGTTTTGAAAATGAGGGAGAAGATCTTTGAAATTAAAGAAGATAGGAGGATATGAAGGGACTATCATAAGTACACAAAGTAAAAGCTAAGGAAAAGAATGGTTTAACCAACAAGAAGCTAACACTTGACATAAAGAAGTCAATATAGAATTCGCATCTTTTGGATTAAAACCAAGTAAGCAAAAATACTAAACCTCTGAGGAATACTAAGCTTCGGATGAATTAAGAACCAAGTAAAGTCTTTATTGACAAAAATTGGCCAGAGTAACAACTGTATACAGAGGAATTCTCAATCACAGACAAAGCATGAAAATCAGAATAACCCGCACACAAAAAATTCAAATCAATGCCTTGGAGTAAACTCCAAGAATTATAGAAGATCTTCAAAAAACTATCAACCAAAGATTACGGAGTTCCAAGGTCTCATGGTTTCGAATCCTAAGTATCACGAATATACAACTCCATAGTGCTAGGGATAGTAACCAGATAGTCCAAGTAACCTTAAAGCTTTTAATATTCAAGTTGATTATTAAGTGTATTAAAAATGAAAAAAAGAAATCTCAAGTGAGCAAAGATAAAATAACATAAAATAATGCTCAAACAAGCAAATAAAAGACAAGTAAAAAGGTATGAAGAATGCTTAAAAGTAAAGGTACAAGAAACATGAAAAATAAGAGTCAATGATTAGCATGTTAGTATATTACAAGTCAAGTATAATAAAAGGTTAGTTGAATGATCGTCTTGAAACTTGCTTTTGA